CTGCTCCTACAGGGAGGGAGGAATAGGTTCTTGGCCTCTCTAGAGAGAGAAGCAGTGGGTTTGAATTCAGAAAGACAGTTTCAGGTTGATATCAGTAAAATATATACCAGTAGAGGTCCCGAGGTACTGGGATAGACTGTGGAACCTTCTCTACTGAAGATCTTTAAGAACAGAATAGAAAAGCTGTTGTGAAGGACACACCTGTGCTATTAAGCTATGTTAGGGCTGACAGTCAGAGTAGAGACCCTGCTGAGTTTCCTGCCAGCCCTGCTTTTCTACCTGGCTTTTTCTGCTTGTACAAACTGATTCAGAGGTCTGCAGCTCTGACGTGCAGCACTGGGTAGAGAAAGTTAGAGGGATAGAGAAATTAAATTAATTCCTGCTTTTATAAACCAAGAAGCTCAAAATTAGTTACACTGAAAATGCAAACAGATAAAGGATCTGCTCCAGACAGTGAGAATACTCTCTCTGACTTGTTTTGCCTTTGGATCAAACTGAAAGAGAAGGGCCTGCACTATTTTCCTTGAGAATTGCTAATGAGTGTGTTGAATAAAACACAAAATCACAAAGGAAATAAACTTGTCTATAAAAGTCTTCATCCAACACCACTTAGGGCGGTGGTGTCTGAGTTTTAGTTAATTCATCTAGATGTATCTATTGTCTTTTGCCATAAAAACTGACTCAATCTGTCCTCAGCTTTCCAAGCCTTGTTGAAAAGAATAGGTTTGGCAAAAAAAATTAAACTTCTGCCGTGGTTCATTTCTCCTTCCCACTGACCTATATTGTGTTATGTCATACAATCAATCTGGTGCCTTGTGTAAGTGCATGTGGAATTTGTTTTGCTTAACAGCAGTGTGTAGGACTTTCTTCTCTCATTGCTGATCCAAGATTTAGGAAATTACTGGCCAAACAGTGTATATTCTTCAGTTTATTATTTGAAGTTAAATTACAGTTCTAATAGCTGACATTCAGTGGCAGCCTTATTCATCCAGTTGCTGACATGGGCCGTTTCAGGATGATGTGTGCAATAGGAATATTCTCATCTTGTTACTCAGAAAAACACGTGTCTTGCAAACAACTCTGGAATGGTCCAATCTTTAACCCCGTGCTCCCAGCTGAGAGGCTGATGGTGTATTTAGCATGTGTGGCTCTCAGCTGAGTGTGGTTACAGGCTGGACACACTCTGCTCAATCTGTGCATGTTCGACTGCAGTGAAGTACAGCAATTATGGACCTGGGAATAATTTCCACATCAGACCAGACTAAGTTTAGTGCTCAGTTAGCAGTGTAAAACTTAGTCAGAGATGACATCTAAGTGAGGGGTCAAGAACAGGCTGCTCCATGGCTCCGGGCTCCTCTCACCCTGGCTGCCAGAAGTGCCTCCCTCAAGGAATCTGTGGTCCAACATCCGTGTGCCTGAGCAGCATCTGCCTGCACTGCTGCTGCTGGAGCCCTCTGCTAGAATGCACATGGGCTCAGGGCAATGGCAGTGACTCAGCTCAGCACAGCACAGGCAGGACTCCTCTGATGGGCTGGCACATTGCTACAAGTGGCCTTCAGCACCTTCACCAAAGACAGAGGGCTTAACTGCATTTAATCCTGGTGGTCATCTTCTATTGGAGTCAGTTATCAGATCTGTTATTAGATCATGCTACACAGTCCTCCTGTGCTTTGGGAATTAAACCAGAACTGTCACCTTTGACATCAAAGCAGGTATTTCTAACAGAGAAATGGATGAATCCAAGGGTTGCAATAAAAGCCAAAGCAGTGCCTTACCAAAATAAAAATCTCCAGAGAATTATTCTGGTCTATGTGACAGAAAACTTTAGGAAGTCAAACAAGAATTCTTCTTCTGAGACACAGATATTGAGCATATACGGTGCCAAATAACTAAATAACCAGGATATTCACTGGAGAAAGAAAAATCTAGCCCAAAAGCTGAGTCAAATCACAAATCTGCTGCTATTTATGTCTTCATTTCATGAACATTTCTGGAAAGACTTGTCTCTGTTTTGTTGCAGAACAAGAATATTTTTGAAATCTCAGAAAATTCCACAAAATGAGATTATTGTTCTCCATTCAGGTATCACAGCAATCATTACTTAAATATTTTTAGCTGCCTAACAAAGACTTGCTCAGAACTGATTCCAAGCGATGACATGCTAATGGAAAGCTTTGTGTACAGCAGACACATTATTTGAGGCCAGAGGTTCCCTCCCTCCCCCATCAGCAGTTTCTGACAGACTCTACTGATCCTGGGACTTAAGTGAACTGCTGAGGTCATGCTTACACTGAAGTTCAAGTGAAGTTTTAGAACATCCTCTAGTTAAAAAAATAATAACCCCCAAAATCTTAATTCTCAGCAGGACAACTTAACTTGCTAAAGAAATCTGGTTTTCAAGTCAGATCTTATTTCTAAGCCCTTCTTATTTTAGAGCTGTGTGGAAACAGAAGAGTAATCTCTTCACAGTGTCAATGTGGTTTCCATTTGATATTATTCCATGACTTGAGATGATTCTATCACTGCTATCGCTCTCAAGTGGGTGAAGGAAAGATGTTTTCCTCTATTCCTGGAGGTAATCAGGGGTATAATGGGACCAAGGAGGAGAGAAAGGAAGATAAAGACAGGATATTCTTTAGTTTTACAAAACTGATCAAGGGAAGCACCGTGTGAAAAGCCAGGGAGAGGCCATAGCCATAGCAGCCATGATAAGATATCTCACCATCTCCTCTGGAGACATGTGGAATATACTGAGCTGAAACACAAAAAGTGAGCAACCTGTCTCTAGTTAATCTCTGAGTAAAGCTCCTGAACTGTAGGTCACAGCTGCTATATTCCCTCACAGCAATATCTTTCTGCTTGTTCATAAGCATTTCTGTGTGTGCTTCAAAGGTGTCTGAACCAAACATTTCCCTGGCTCTGATTTTGCACTCTCATTTACCCTCGCCCTGAAAAAAAGGAAAACATATCTATGTATGTAGCTTCTATTGAATCTCATATTTCCAATACTTCAATTTATAGATTGAGAACATTTACAAACAAAAAGAAAGAAATCCTGCAAGTCAACATGACACATTTTAAAACATGGGTCCCAGGTTTGATTTCAGCTGGTGAGTGAAGAGGAGAGGAGCGAATATTGATATGTGTTTATAGAGATCACACTAGGAACTAGAACAGTGGTTCCCAAACTTCTTTGGATAGCTGTCAACCCTCAGAATTTCTTATGGACCACCAGGCATCGTTATCACCAGAGTTTTAATTGAAAACACTATTAAAAACAGTGGTTAACGTGGCTCTGCGGATTAGCTGCGAACCCTTCCCCGTGGCCTCCTGGACCACCAGTGTTCTGTGGACCACGGCCTGGGAACACTGAACCAGACTGCACACAGTGCACAGCCCAACAAACCCCCCTGTGTGTGGAGCACAGGCAGCCCTGCCACTGCACCACCACTCAGGGCAACGGAACCTGTCTGCGAGCTGAGGAACACAGAACCCTTTTGTTTTTCCCTTACCCGGAGTTGCTTTTTTATTGCTTTGGTGAAACAAGTAAATGGTGCCAAAACCCAGTTTCTTGTAGGATCTTCCTCATGTCTGGCATGGGTGTAATCTTTCAGGAAGTTATTTATGAAAATAAGAAATATAAAACATATCCCCCCCACCCAGTGTGGACTGGTCATTCCAGAATAGTTATGCTATCTATGAATCTGAAAGTTAAAAAATTAAAAATAGCTTCTAAGGTTTTGGTTTTTTTTTCTCCTCTGGAAAATTTGTTCCTTTATTTTTCCCTCCCAAATCCATTAATGATGCTAAAGCTCTGTGTGTGGTCATTAAAGCATTTCAGCAACTTTCTGCAAATTCTTTACAGTTATTCTTTGGCTGCAGCACTACAAGTTTGTTTATCACCAGAGAAACACACAGAGGAAAACGCCGACAGCGCTGAGAAGGGAACTTATGGGGGAGCATTGTAAATAAGGACAGCAAAACAGCAGGGGCATGATCCAGCCCTGCATGGAGCCAGTGACAGTGGTGTCTCCTGGGAGCAGGGATGGGCTGGAGCTTCCATCTGATGGCTCTGCCTTGGTACCTCCTTGCAACCCACAGGCAACTCAGCCAACCAGTAAAGAAAGGAGGCTTATTTCCCTCTCTTCATACACTCCTTTTCAACAGCTATAACATGGAATTGGGAAGAAGGAACCCTGGCAAGCAGCAGCATCATAGAAAAAGAAAAGAACTTTCTAAAATAATTTTTTTTTGGACAAGACTGTGCTTCCATGTCAGCACCTCACCTGTCTGGGAGAGGAAATAACGCTGCCCCAGCACTTTCATGCCCCTTGTGTGCTCAATAGCCGTGGTAATGCAGAGGTTTGAGTCAGACTGGGAGTGGAAAAGGGTCATTACAGCAAAGCTAATGCACAGGAGAAGTCAGCAAGAAAAGCCTACTTTACCTTGAAACATAATGAAACCTACCCAGCTCTTGTCTCTATAGGCCTCTCCTGCAATACTTCACACTCAGAATCACTAGTGGATGCTACTGGAGCATTCATAAATTAGATTAATAAGCTCCCCTATTTGTGTCCTTTTTTTTTTTTTTTTCTGTCTGAACATATTTCTTTCTCCATGCAGTGCCAATGCTTAGAGGTAACTATTAACTTACTTGTCATTAATCTGAAATAGAAAAAGCTCAGCTTGCCAACATGACCAGGCAGTGTAAAAGCCAGCCTCGTGGCCCCCCTCCCCAGCTGCAGCCTCAGAGCCAGGTGCCCGTGCTGAGGGTGAGGAGGGTGAGGAGGGTGAGGAGGGTGCTCGCCCGGGTGCTGTGCCCCAGCTGAGCCCCGCCTGCAAACACGGGTGGGATTCTGCAAGAGCGAGGGACACGCACCGAGCAGCCCTGCCTGCCCCCGCCGCTGCCCGACACCCTCGCGTAGATAATGTGTGTACTTTCTGTAGTGAGTAAGTGCTGCCTTTGTGCCAACCCATCAGCTTTTGGCTTCTCTCCACAGGAAGCAGGGAGGCCGCGTTCACCTATGCCATTACTGCTGCCGGGGTTGCACACGCTGTCACGGCCGCCTGCAGCCAGGGCAACCTCAGCAATTGTGGCTGTGACCGAGAGAAACAGGGCTACTACAACCAGGAGGAGGGCTGGAAGTGGGGAGGCTGCTCCGCGGATATCAGATACGGCATTGAGTTCTCCCGGAGGTTTGTTGATGCCCGAGAAATCAAAAAGAATGCCCGGAGGCTGATGAACTTGCACAACAATGAGGCTGGAAGAAAGGTATTCCAGAAAGGACGAGGGATGGGGATCCGTGTGCGCTGGAGGACGGGGGGAGGCTGGCTGGTGGCAGGAGCATTCCCTGAGAACTCTCCCCTCTCTCTGCTGTTGTCCCGCACCCACAGCGAGTCACCCCATGGCATCTGATGTTTACGTTTTGTTGCTGTTTCCTTTTATTCAGAGCTGAACATATATTAGAGACACTCCTCTAAAAATTGCTGCTTCCTAAGCCTTCTTTCCAGTCCCCTGCTCCAGGAGAGGACCTTGCTGGATCTGTTTGGCATATTGATAAATCACTGCTTTTCATCTGATTTGCTAAAATCTAGCAAGGGATGTCGGGACTTGTGATGGGATAGGACTGAGTGTCTGCACTGCTCAGCTCCTACAGCACCTGTAGCTATTTATTCCATCCAAACCAGAACACTTACTGACCCTGGCTCTAATGAAATACACACAAATACACAATGCACTTCTTAGCAAAGGCACAACTGTCCCTTTGTCACCGGTGGGCCACAAACGGCCCGTTAGTGTTACTCTGGGAGAAGAAACAGTTTCCTGTCTGCGACCACGACTGGGTTGCTTGCCATGGAAACAATAAACATCATGGAGCTACGCTGACTTATGTCCCCTGAATAACAACCCTCATGGCTCTCAAAGCTTGCCCCTAAAAAAGGACAACAAATCTTTCTGCCTAAAATATACTTACATCAGGAGAGAATTTACTATAGCCTTCAGAGTCTTTTCCTCCAGGTTAAAAATATGCTGCCTCTGCCCTCCAGTGCTGCAGAAGAATCCAGTATACCAATATACTAATTCAGTATTCCAACCCAGTATAACCCTTTCCTTCTGGCCCCCAAAATCAGCCCAAAACTCCCTTCTCTAAAACAGTGTGTGTTTTCAGTGGTGTCCTGAGCACTGGGCAGAGGGGGGTGAACTGGTGGTGATGGAAACACTGTCTGGCTTTTCCTCATTAACACTCAGGTACAGCTGGCTGTGCACTGACACTGCAGGTGGTGTATGGGCAGTTGTTCACTGGGAGGAAAATACTGTATAAATTCAATGTGGTGAGAGAGGCACAATCTCCAGTGTAGAGACAGGATGGATACTTCAATGGTGGCTGACACCAAGCTCTCTGGATGTGCAGCAGACAGCTCACTCAAGAGCCAGACAGAAAAGCAGCCTTAAGAGAGGCACAGCCTTTTTTCCCCCCCAAATTTGGTACCACATGTGTAAAAGGCCCTCATACAGTAGTTGACCATCAGGTTGGAAGGCCAGCCCCAGGTCTGATCACCTCTCCTAGGCTGGGCATTCCAGCTCAGCACCGTGCACTGTGTTTGGAGGCAAAAGAAGGTGGAAGGCAAATGTTAAACTGGCCAGGGAGCATTTATTCCTGCTGGATGCATTACCATCCCTGCTCAAGCTGGCCCCCTCTGTGGTGTGCCCTGTGCCACCCCACAGAGACCTCGATGCACATGCTGCTTGGAACATGTCAGATGATATTTAAGCTTTTCAGGGAATTTCTGATGACTGTGGAATGAGTGAATCCCCTCATTGCCCTGCATTGCATCCCCTAATGGCTCTGGATTGCATTCCTAGGAATTGTTTCAGCTAGTGGCAGGCTTGTAAAGCTTCTGATAAACTTGTAATAAATAGCAGCAGTGACAAAATCATAAACTTGCCATTGGTGCCATTTGGAAGAAATAAATACTTAGGGATTCCTGGTGACATGATGGAAGATTTCTGTTTTGTGGCCAAACGGCTCTGTGCTGTGTGAAAGAGCAAAGGAATGAACTTCCCCATCAGCTTTGAAACACCCACTCTGGTTTGGGAGGAAAGTACAAGTGTGGTAAAGGAAAACAAGCCCCCGAAGGAGGACCAGTGCAAGTTAATGCAAAGGTTACTGAGAGAACGGCTGGCTGCAAAGCTGAATGATTACAGAGAGATCTGTGGGCAAAACTTTGATAGAGTAATGAAAAATTAAATACCAACAAAACCAGCCAGCTTTGATGCTGTTTTATGAGGCAGCTTTCTACCATGTATTTTTAGAAACAAGTATCTTTATTCTGGGATAAATGAACTTAGAAAGAGTAACATCTGGGAACACACACCATTAATCTCATTTTTTTGTTGAAAGCTTCAAAACAATGACTGTCTCTCACGAGGATCTCATTTATAAAAATGAGGGGGTCTGTTTGTTTGTTTTTAAGGGGTGAGTTAAAAGAACAAGCTGACAAATTGGTAGCAGATCGCAGCTTTTACCAAAAAGAGGAAAAGAAATGTTTCTAACAGTTTATCAATCAATTAGGCTCTTCTGATAGACAGTGACTGTGGTTATGTGCAGAACAAGCTGGCCTGTTCCCTTCCCTTCCAGAATAACCATCACACTGACTGCCAGAAACTCAGCCTGATACCATCCCAATAGTTATTCCTTTGGAATGGTTTTCTGTTGCTGTTTTTTTGGAATGCCTGGAAGATGACAACAGCTTTTTTTTTTTTTTAAACAATAAGAGTGTGGGGAAAAAACAACTAATTCAGACTCTCTTCAGAAGAGATTATTCAATTACTTGGGACAACATTTCCATCTAAGCCATGGCTTGTTCTCACAGTTCCTGGCGCCACAGGACTGTGGTACTGGGAAGGGGTTTTTTGCTGACTTGCTTTGGCTGTAGAACAGCTAATGAGGTGATTGTTGGTCACCATTCATTATACACAAACATACACATAGATACATAAATATATGGAGTGTGTGTGCACAGAATTATGGATATTTACACATATTTATATGTACTGTTTGCACTAGAGCTATTACAATATGTAAGACAGTGTCAGGTCCCTGCAGGTCCCATGAAACATTCTAATTGCTCAGCTGGGTCCTGGCAGATGCACAGCATGCCCTCAGCTGCTGCAGGCTGCCCTCACTGCCACCTGACAGCACGGGAGGGCACAGACAATGCCCACAAAAAGACTCTGCATGAAATGCTCCCAAGTCACAGTGGAGGCTGAATCCCAGTTTCAGATGTGAAACCCAACAAATTTTATGCTCTTATAAGCCTAAAATATTCTTTAAAATGTGACTTTGTTTCCCAAGTAATTTCAGCGATGCAAAGAATGTGACTTGCCAGGTTTTACAGCCCTGAGCCCATCATTTGCTGAAAGTTTCTTCCTCTCAAAGCGGCAAATTATTTCACTGCACATCCCTTGAGAGAACACTCACAAAAGAAAAGCTTCCCACAGTTGTGCTTCATGCCACACTTTCCACTTTCCCACTTAAACTGATTTGCAGACAGATAGAAATCCAATTTCGAAAAGTTTGGTGCTACAGCTTGGGTGGGTTAGATGGATAACTACAGCTTATCCATATGTCCTGAATATGCTTTGGCTCCAAACCTCCTGAGGACAGATCTCCTGCTTCCAGTTGGGCTGCATTACTAGACTATTTTTTTCTTCCAGAAACACACCCTTAACATTGACTGCCAGAAGCTACATCTGGTGCTCTCCTACTTTTTGAACATTTTGCTTTAAAATTAGAGGGGGTAAGAGCCAAATATTTTAGGACTTGCTAACTGGTTTTATTCAAGAAATGTGCATGCCCATGCATACCATGCAGTGCATGCAAGACAGAGATCATCCATCTAGTAAAATACCACTGCACACTCTCAAACCTGACATATCTATTCTGCTTGAAAGAGTAAAAGCACCCATGAAATATTTTAACTATTTCAGGTGATACTTAAAATTTTACCTTCAAGCTTTACAACAAATTCCATAGAAAAGAGAGTGAAACACTGCAATCACACTTGGTTTGGGGATGATTGGGAGGGTGCTTCTTAAGATTATGGCTTTTTGCAACATTTCACTGTAAAAATAAAATTCAGAAAGTTTTAACCAATTGCAGCAGTTTATTGCTCAAATATGGCAGCTATTTTCTCTTTTCTAGAAGGTAGGGAGAAGACACTGATGGATTAGGCTGTTGTTCATCCTCATAACAGTACAGACTTCCATGTGATGGGCAGCAGGTCCCAAAATCCCAGGTTAATTTTCCTGGTAGCCAAGAGGAGAACTCGTGTAAAGAGCACAGTGGGACTCCCTCCGTTTTTTAATGCATTAAGTGAGGACACTGTGGAAGAGGGTGTCAGGGAGGCAGGGGGAGGCCAGGAGGAGGTGAACTGATACCTCTTGGCATCTCTGAGGGTGCTGAGCTCTGGCCAGTGCCAGGGAAAAACCAGCTCCTGCTGTGGCTGGGTACTGACCCTGCAAAGCAGAGGCTCCCTGTTTCCATCAAACTAATCCATAAGAAAAATAGGGATGACAAGAGAAGCAGCGAGCACAGGAATTCAGTTCCTCATCTCCCACCCCACAGAGTATAAACACTGTTTTGATGCCCCATGGAACAGCTTCACAGAGGAGCAGAAAGCAAGCTCTGCAGCTGAAGCACCCTCGTGCCTCTCCTGCTGACTCCACGGCTTCTCTTGGAGGAGACATGGTGTGAACTGCTCAGTTCTGGGCTCTGTCATCTGCTATTCACAAAGAATAATTTCAGGACATTTGTATTAGAGGACTAGCATTACATCCTACTAATGTTAGGTAGATCCCTTCCTGTCCAAGTTAAAAAATCAAATGCAAATAAACCCTGCCTGGATTCCCAGATGGGTCCACGAGATCAGCTGCATGAGAACCAAAGGAGAGGTGACACCCTGTGACCAGCACCCGGCTCTTTTGGTAGCCAGGACCACAAACAAAAGCTGATCACTCGCATGTTTGATGGGGGAAAACTGCTAAAGTCTTCTATTTCTCTTTGATACTGCAGTCGCAAAGTAATATGGATTTTGTTACATTTAACATCTGGTCCAAAAATGTGCATTTCCATTAAGGAAAACACAAACCAGAAAAGGCAAGCCAAAACACACACACACAAAATGTTACTATTGTTTTTTTATACTTTATCCAGATAGGATTTTTAATATGTACAGAAACTGTATCTGATGTTATGCAGTTGGGTCTAGATATGGAACTTGAAAAAATGAATTTCTTTTCATGCATATCATTTTGTTTTATTTTGATCTTCACAAGTCTTTTTCTACTTAACTGACAGTGGACAGCCCTCAAATTGCATTTTCAGTGTGTGGATTATGTAGGTATAAGAAGACATGGGGTTAAGAAAGCTTTAACATTACATTTCACAATTCATTTAACGAAGTAGCAGTAGTTAGAAAATTTTACTTGGCAAGATCACACTGGGGTGGGAGTGGGCCTGTATGTGGAAAGGGGACCTGAGGAATGTTCCTATGATTAGTTGGAGGCAGCACAGCCCAGCGATGGGAATTTGCTCTGGGAGGTAGATCTTGCTGTAAACCATTCAAGATTAGATAGAAGCACTGACATCTGACAAATGGGACTGCTGAGCACGAGCTAATGATTTTCAATCTTTAATCAAGCACCCAGCCTGGCACAGGGCATTAGATTTGAGTAAATAAGTACCTGTAAGGCTCAGGGTCAAAACTGATGGGAATTTTGCTGAGGAAAGCTGAGCTGGAGGGACATTTAGGAAGCAAAACATTAGTTGCTCTTCATTCAGAGCCTTGAGCAAACAGGGTCAGATGCGGCCACCTTAGGCAGGCCCTGGCAGTGGGAAGGTGCTGGAGATGCCCTGCAGAGAGGGAAACCTCCAGGAGAGCCTGGCTGGGCAGCACAGAACACTCCACAGCAGCGGGGTGGAGAGAGGGGGGAAAAACTGCTCAGAATCTGCTTAGTTTGGGCCTTATATTCCCTGACCTCCAAGCTTCTGGGCACAATTTTGTACCCACAGCTGACTGTGGGCACACAAATTATAGCATTCAGGAATTTAACTACCTGATGATTGGGCCTGTGCTCAGTGTTGTAACCCCAAACATTCCACATCCATGAGAGAAGTCTCCAAAAAAATAAAAAAAACCTGTGAGATTGGCTTCAGGAGCATGAATTAATACTTTTTGAAACTTCTGCTGTTTTTGAGCCTGTCTGGCTTGCATTTGCAAGTTCTTCCACCATCACAGACAGTGGGAACCTTCAAAACAATACAACAGTGAAATCAGGTCTCTGCTCAGCAAAATGAGTCACGAAACCAGATCTTCAGAAAGACAATGACAAAAAGATAAATCAAGACTTAGGATAAAGTTGCTGAAGATTGTACTACAGAGGGTGCCAGGCAGCGTATATAAATCATATATAGATGTATATAATAACGTAAATAAATGGCAGCATCTCAACCAAATACACACACAGGCAAACATATATACACACAGAGAGACATCCCTATATAAGTATACATTCACAGATATGTCACCTGGGACACCAGAATGGGTGGTATCTGTTTTCCAGGAGCAATGACACTTTTTAGTGTATCAGTGAAGCACATCAGTGGCAAAGACAGAGGTTCCCTGGGACAGTGCCCGGAGTGTTGAGCCCACACAAGAATAAGGAGCCTCACAAACTTCACCTCCTTCCACTCTCTTAGTAAGTTACTGCCTTGGCCTTTCTGACCAAAATACAGACATCAGGAACGTGTGGAGCACGGCAAAAGGTGCACCTCTCCCCAGGCTTTACTGCTGAGGGAGGAGCGTGGCTCAGGGCTGACAGATCCCATAGGCAGTGCTTTCCTGGAAAACTTAGTGCTCTTTGGTGAAGGTGTAGAGAAGGTTTCCCCCCTCCACCTTTTGTCATGGATTTTGCTGCAGCTCTTAGAGCTGCAACTGCATGTTGAGAAAGCTGTAGAAGCAGGTTGGTTTCAACAAACCAGCAATATCAAGCACAGCTTCTAAGCACTTCTATACATATCTACAAACACATCTAAATACCAAGAAATTATTTGAAGCCAGATTTGTGGAGCAGGATTGAAATCTTATTTAGGGGTCTTTGGAAAAGACCTTCTGCACAAGCCTGAGAGGGATACGGAGGAGACCCTGGAGACCCCTGAAAGACCCTGGACTATGTCATAATGAATTCCTCTACTCACTGCCACTGAAATGCTGCTCTGCTTCCAACTCAGGATATTCCATGATTCTTGCATAGGTTGCTCAGCTATCTTATACTTGCTACTGTATGTTGGCAAGGGAGAACCCAAACCAAATATTCTCTTTAATATTGAAACCCCAGAAATTTGGGAAAAAACAAACCATACAATTTAAGTGAAACTCAAACAACTCAGGAGGGTGCCTTCTATTTGCAGGGATAACCAGATCTGCACAGCTTTTATTTTAAGGCCAGTTTCTGAAGCAGTAAGCATTTTTTACTCCCTCCTACTTCATTATACCATTGTACTCAGATTTCGGCCCTTTCATCCCGTGCCCATTTCAGTCATGTTCTGGGATCTGCAGCGAAACCACGACAGGAGATGGTCTGCAGCATCAGTAATGCTCTCAGACAGGCTCGGCAGCTCGGATTTCTGCGTGAGCATCCCAGTGCGAGGGGGAGAGATCAGCTCGCTTTGTTCTTGGGCCCTGATTTTCATAAGCTAATGATGACTGTGGGTGTAATTATGGTCAGGCTTAAGTGGTAGCGCGAGGGCGGAAAAACAAGGAGGCGTTTCCGTGAGGCCGGTTTTCCCTCGGCCGTGCACGGAGCGGGAGGGCATCGGCCTGCCTTCCCCCGCCACACATCCCACCTGCCTTCCCCTGGGACACACCCCACCTTCCCGGGGCACACCCCACCTTCCCTGGGCACACACTCCACTGTCCCAGGAAAGGAGGGATGTGCCAGTCCTGGAGGGGGTGGGACAGAGCAGAAATGGGAGGACAGGAGTAGAGCACGAGCACCCACCAGTTCGGGTCCCTTCCAGGGACCACCTGACCGTGGATTAACTGCTCCAGATGAACCTCCTGGACCACTGATCACTGGCACTAATAAATGCTCCCAGTTCTCCTTGGCTCGCTGCTGAGCAGGGCCCTTCAGTGGACTTTTTGTCCCCCTAATGTTGTGCAGTCATTGCCCTGTGGCTGATCATTTGCTTTATAGCTGGACTGAGAGCTGCAGGGAGTGCTGCCCTTAAAGGGGATGGGGCACTCTGGGTGGAATAGTCAGGAAGTTTACCAGTGCCAGTATAGGTATAGGTATAAAGGCAAAATCTTTAATGATGCAGTGAATATAGAATCACAGAATCACACAATGGGTTGGAAGGGACCTTAAAGGTCCTCTAATTGCAGCCCTCCTGCATGTATGCCTGTTCAGCTACACAGTGTATACTGTTGTGTCAAAATTCTGAAAATATTCTTTGATCATTACTTAAAGCAATTAAGTATTCTGAATCTTATGGCACCTGAAAAGAACCCCACTTTTTTTTTTTCTGTTTTCAAAATGAAAATGGTTTGAAAAATTTTAAGTTTCCTGTAGCTCTAAAGACATGTCTTCTGAAATAGAAGGAAATATTCTCCAGTGTTTGGAAACAGAACAGAAATGTTTTCCAACAAAGTGACAAAACACTGTATTTCCAACCGGGTGCCACTACAACTGTGTTACGAGCATTCTGTTGGGAGGTGAGAAGCTTTATCAGCATGCATTAAAAAAATTTCATCAAGCAGTAGTGAACACTGATACGAACTAAACAGACTGAGGTTTAGGCAAACTTGCAATAGTTTTCTTGCAGTATCAATATCCAACTGTCTGTACACACAGGTTCTCGAAGAGAGGATGAAACTGGAGTGCAAGTGTCACGGAGTTTCAGGCTCCTGTACAACCAAGACCTGCTGGACAACACTTCCCAAATTCAGAGAGATTGGATACATTTTGAAAGAGAAATACAACGCTGCAGTGCAGGTGGAGGTGGTACGAGCCAGTAGACTAAGACAGCCAACCTTCCTGAAGATCAAGCAGATTAAGAGCTACCAGAAACCCATGGAAACGGATTTAGTGTACATTGAAAAGTCACCCAACTACTGTGAGGAAGACGCTTCCACAGGGAGCGTCGGGACCCAGGGGCGGCTCTGCAACCGCACGTCCCCCAACGCGGACGGCTGCGACATGATGTGCTGCGGGCGGGGGTACAACACACACCAGTACACCAAGGTGTGGCAGTGTAACTGCAAATTCCACTGGTGCTGCTTCGTGAAGTGCAACACGTGCAGCGAGCGGACAGAGGTGTTCACCTGCAAATAACGGCCCCGCGCGAGCCGCCCGCGGACCCCGCGAGCCCGGGGGAGGACGACACACCCCAGCATCGTTTGCACATCTCACCTGGGGACACGACCCCGGCCAACACCACAACCACGCCCTCCCCACTACTACCCACACCTCTAAGGATGGTGCATTTTGGCTGGCTGGCTGTTGTAACTGCTTTGGAAACAAGGGCAACAGGATTAAGGTGATGTTGACAACCACATGAAACTTTCTCTCTCTCTCTTTTTTTTTTTTTTTTAACTACAATCTGGGTGTTGTAGAGTTCTCTTAGTGTTTTAAGTTATACATATCAGAGAAGCTGATTGCGTTGCAGCTCCCATGACATTTAAAAGAAAAAGACACTTTTTCCTATTTTACAGCAACTAAACTGTCGAGCCCTGTGCAAAAAAAGACTTTTTTTTTTAAGGAAATGAAATCTTCACTGACTAGAATGCAGCAGTCTTGCTGCAAAAACCTAAATTCCTAAGAAAGCAGGTAGAGAGAAAACAACTGGTAGGGAGCAAAATCTGTGGCAGAAATACTCCACTATCAGTTTGGAAAAAAACCAACAAACGTTCACAAAATTACATCAGCTGCCAGTGACACTGGAACTCTTTGAATGAACATTAAAAATAATTATTTATGTTTTTAATAGTATCAAAAAATTCTAAGCACTAACGGGTAGCTATGTCTTAATTCTGTACTAAATGTAAACTTATTGGAACTCTGACTTTATGACTTTTGTATTTGGTTCTCCCTAAGTTCTTCAATGCTACTGATCTGTTGTCACTCCACTATTAGAGTTCAATTACTGTAGGCCTTAAGCAATTACCAGAACTGAGCAAAAGCATCATATGAAACTGTGGTTACAAATGTTTGATAAAGACTTTTCCCACTTGCCTCCTGAATAAGAATGACTTTTTTTTAGACTCAGGCCTGAGGTGTGGAGAGCCTGCTCTCGGCTCCTCGTAGGGAGTTTTAGGATACAAAGACTTGCTTGGACAAATATCAAAGGGTTTGCTTTGCTGTCAAATGCACTGGCAGGATCTTCCATCGCATTTTGCCTGTAAGGGTTGAAAGTTAATATTCCAAGAGTTTTAAATAACTTATGCTCAGTATGCACTCAGAAGTTAATAAAAGTGTGGCAGCTGAGCTCTAGGCTGCTGCAACCTAGAGCTGTGGTGGCTTCACGAGCACAAGACAACTAAAATTTGGGTTAGTCCATGCCACTGTTACTCTAAGGCTGGCAACACCGTGCCTCTGGTAAATCCATGAATGTTAAGAAAGAAGCTTACTTCTTACATAGCACTCATCCTAAGTCACACACCTTGTCCCTATGAGAGATTTTTTTAAAATCCTCAGATATTTTACTACTGTAAAATCTAGTGTTTTTAACCCCAAGAGCCAGATATGCCCACTTGTAACACAGCCCATTCAAAACCATAAATGTCTGCTTGTCCCAAGGGTCCCGACCCGATTTTCTGAAAACTTGGATTAAAAATTTCCTTACATCTGTATATCTGCATCTCTAGCATTTGTTTCATTGTATTACTTCCACTGAGAGGCTGCACAGCCATGAGCCCTCCCCACCTGCCATGGAAGCACTTGTCAGTCCATGTGGTGGACCGGGGGCTGGTGGATCTTCTGCTCCACCTGCTCCTGTGCTGGATTTGAGAATGAACAGGAATTACCTCTGGAATTTGTGGACCTACATTACCAAAAGTAACCAACGACTTGGGGATCTTCATTCGAACCCTCATGAGGACCTGCCTTTCTGACCCCAAGCACTTACCCTCTGAAAATCAGACCCCTTGAACGAGTCTCTCACTGAGCAATATAAAATTGCTCTTTTTTTTTTTTGGATGTTACTGTTGGTTTCTAAATGCCAGCCTTGGCATGAACAAGTGCAACTTCACAGAAGTCAGCAGGGGCCCCCAAAATACTAGAGTCCCTCCATGTAATTTGAAGTCCCTTTGATTCATGGGTATTGTTGTTGAATCATAGTGATATACTGTACTTCCACTGCATTCTTGACAGGAAGCAAATAAAGCTCCCAAACACAGTAATGCACAGTCTTATGGTACTAGATACTGTAAATATATTAGAATAGTATTTGTTAAGTACAATTGAGGAATCCAATTAAGTTATATTATTGTATATCGTTTAAATGTCTATAGAGTATTTTAAATTATTGCAAACTACACTGCGTTAAAAAAAGAAAGAAAAGGTTATATATTATAACACCAACCACTCTGAAAAGTGGACCAAAGTGACACTTTCTCTCTTCTATCCATACCCCTATTTCAAATAGCTCTGTCTGCTATTTTAAGACCACTGTAAGTCCTATGATTGGTTAGCAGTCTAGAATATAATGTTTCAGAGCATCCTATGGAGGCTTTGCTCGTATGGGGATGCAGCATTCCAAAAGGTGCTGTTGGCACAAAGCAGGGATGACCATGGGAATGCTTGGACTTTGAAATATGTCCCAAGGAAAAGCAGTTTTGGTCAGAAAACACCATAACCACTAATGTACCCCAAATGCAACCTTTTAACGAAGGTGTCTGAACAGAATTGGGTTACACACAACTTTTATTTTAAAAAATGTAGTTTGATGTCAAAGAGCTGTGACAAGAGAGGTTGGAATGTGACCAGCAACACGTGGTTTAACCATACCTTAGCCATGACAAAACTCAAAATACTGTATGTTATTAAAGAACGTGAGAGCAAAGATCAATTTGTTTACTATGTTAATGTTTTATGGCAAGCAGAAAACAAAAGATGAAATGTGTTTCCATTAAAACTTAATTTTTTCCCCTTCTAGTTCCTTTTCTTTTTGTTTGTTATTTGTTTAGGAAAAAACAAAAGGCGATGAGGCCTTATGCAAAGGTCGTTTGTGTACAGGCTCCTCCGGATGAGAAATGACAGGCAAATTCCAAGTCCAAAGCAGTTTTTGTGTTTTGTGAAAAACAGTAATGAGTGTGCCTGTGTGTGGTATCACAGTCCAAAGCCAGCTACCTACACCAGTGTGCAGAGAAACCGGCACAGGCACCAACAGTGTGACCACCAGAGACTTTAGCTGGTTGCAGTGAGAAGAAGATACATTTTTTGTGAAAGAAAATAAATGATTTGTGATAGAAATGTGGCCTCCAACTCAAAAATGGTTCTTGACCATGAACCTCACATAAGAGACTAGCAAACAGAGAGGAATAAGAGGTGCAGAGAAGGGGCTTGAAGGCCCTGGCTGAGGCACTTGCACGTGCTCCGGCTTATTCAAGAAAGTTATGGGCACACCTGAAATCCCCACCTGAATCTGAACCTGAAAGATTTCACAGCATTTACCTTGGTCCTTGATACTGAGAATAGTGTCTTCCTATACAAAATCTAAAGAAAATGTACAACATTTGCTGTATTTACCCCTCAGGGGAGATATCCAGATATAGATAGAGGTATAGCCAAATTCTACATGAACTAAGTCCAAAATAACTTCATTAAAATGAACTGAGTTGGCCTGGGTTTACAGCAGCATAACTATGCACAGCATTTTACCCACAGATGCCAAAGAAAACACTGCACCTTCTTTCTAATTACATCATGGGAAACTTGTTAATAGAGCTGCAGGAAGTTTTTACAGCACATGGTAATATTACATTCGTTTCTACAATGACATCTGGAACGTACACGGAACCCATCAAAAGATTTGCAAATCTTTTAACAAATCTAAAGCATGTTACGAGTAGATCCCCTAAAGTTTTAATCATATTTCCACGGGTTTCTTTCTTAGTTTAAGGTTCAACCCCCGAAGTGATGCTGAAGGTAACAAATCAGGGCCTTCCCTCGTAGCAGCTTTCCCATGCAAACAGCTCAGTGTGCCTGTCACTGTTGAAGGCACAGTTGGTGTGCAGCAGAACACTCTTTCTATAAAGCTACAGATCATATTTGCATTCACAGCACTTTTCATAACTGGGCAGTGACTGCACGTTTCCTTCCCCAGCCCTGAGCCCTTTGTTGCAGTGGCAGTTCCCGCAGCGAGGGCGCTGCAGTGAGCGGGGCAGGGCAGACCCAACATTCCTCTCTCAGTGACAGCCACGAGAGATGTGGGATGTACACAACAAAACTGCGCCTAAGGGGACACACAGCAAAGCTGGAAAGGCAGGGGAAGTTGCAAGCAATTTCAGTTTGGGATACTGATATGGTAAGAAACCTCCTGCATGCAAAACAAACCACACTGTAGCTGAACTTCACCCACAAACTCATTGCCCCTCGAATCCAAAGTCCCCATCTGCATCCCTGCACATCCAGACTGGAACAAGCACGTCCAAAGGCTGGCAAGTATTTTCTTTTTGGAGTTTTGCCCGCTATTAGGAAATTGTAGGGGATCATTTTCTGACAGGGGACGTGCATTTGCAAATTTAAAATTTGCATCTAATTTTTAAAATGAAGATTTAAGGTTTCTCCCCCTGCACATTCCTGCAGCACAGATATACGTGCTTTGAAAGATTTGTTTGGTGAAGAATAAAGATGGCAGTTTTCCTATAATACATGGTGGTTGTGTTCCACAGAGCACCGAGACAGAGGGAATAACACTGCTGTAAACTCAAAATCTGACTCCTGCTGTTTTTCCTGAAAGCAATACACTAAATACTATCTGTTTGGAGACCCCAGCGTGAGTCTATTTCAATCATCCTTTTCATAACTTAGTGCTATGAAAGGCCAAAAAAACTGAAATACTAAAGTTTGCTTTGTTCCCAGGTCCTCCTGTTCTTGATGCAAACAGATCACAAGATCAACAAAAAAACCAGCTTAATGACACTTAAACTTGTGCCTAGTATTAAAACTGATTAAGAAATTTGTTTCATAGGCGATCCCAAACAATTGGCGGCCGCAGCAGACACTGGAAATGTTTGCATGGAAGGCCAGCTGTATGATTAGCCTCTGCCTTCATTTGCCCAGCAATTTAGGGGAAACCCTGCATTTAGATCCCATACAACTAAAAGGAATTCCCAAGGAGATTACAAGATTTTGATCTTATTGTTTAATTCCTGTGGCTGAGAATGAAAAGAAGCATTGCCTCAATCTTTGGGTAAAGGGAAACCCAAAGGCATTTTGAAGACTATTCACACCACTCAGCTTAAAAGATGGGCTAAGGGAACTGACAGGCTCTCTCGAGTCCCTCTACAATAGGGAGAGCAAACTTGCTCCAGGGGAGGCCTTAGTTCAGCTCTGACAGACCTGTTCCTTCTCAACTGGAGAAAAACTCCAGGGAGAGATGCTGGATAATTTATCTGCTGAAATTTAGCACCAAAATTGGTGTTGTGTGAATGAATCTCCATTTCCCCTCTACCATTTGCCTCAGTTGCTCTTGGGCATTAATTATATTTTCCTTGGGCTTTTTTAACTGCAAGTATTATTATTTTATGTGTTGTGGAATAGATGCCCTATTACACCAGTGAAATTGGCTTTGCTTTTCCTTTTTACTGCCACCCTGTTCTCCTCCCTTCCAAGCAATCTCTGACTCCTGATTTTACACACGGAGTATTTCCCCGCAGAAACGATTTCAAAGAGAATTGTAAAAGCCAGATAATTATCCAGTGATTTGACTGGAGCAGTTTTCCACAAAGCTGATTATTTACGATTTTGAATTCCTCTGAACATATGTGCTGTGCAGAGATCTCTAATCCAAGGGGTGAACCTTTAAAGTAAATGGTCATGAAGGATCCCGGTGGGTGTCCAACAATGGGTGTCCAACCCTCTCCCCGTTCTTTCACCAGAGTGCATCCAGGCTGCTGTTCTGGAGCACATCAGGCACATCCCAACTCCCTGCAAGGACTGCACTGGGCCACTGGAGCCGAGTTCAGCCTCCAGGATAGGCCTGTTCAAAGGGCAGTGGAATTTAACCATCATGCATTTTCCGCAGCACTAAACATCACACAGAGCAGGGTTACTTGTCTCAGCACCTTCTGAGGTACGTATTACATTCCTTAAAGACACGGAAATATATACAGAACAGGAGGGTCAGGTTGGATCTCAGGGAAAGGTTCTTCCCCCAGAGGGTGGTTGGGCACTGCCCAGGCTCCCCAGGGCAGTGGGCACAGCCCCAAGGCTGCCAGAGCTCCAGGAGGGTTTGGACAATGCTCTCAGGGACAGGGTGGGATTGTTGGGGTGTCTGTGCAGAGCCAGGAGCTGGACTTACATGACCCTTATGGGTCACTTCCAACTCAGGGTATTCTGTGATGCTATAATTCTATGATACTTAAAAGAATTAGCATACCCAGAGAGAAAAAAAATGCACCCCTCAAATTGCATACTGTATCCCAGGTAAAAAGCCTCAAATGCACACACATCATATATGTATTTCCATGCACATGTACAAATACATGTAAACACAAAAACTTATATAAATGTATGTGTGTGCACATCTGAAAAATACTCAACTGCAGATATTCAGAGAAATTTCTATAAACCCCTTCCTCAATCTTCCCTTTTCAAGGCAAGTGGATTTTGTGGCCTCTCACTGAAATACAAGGAAACAAATTTTCTGCATTTTCTTCCAGATATCTGTGTCCTCAGTACCACAATAACACTTGATAAGACTTCCTTCTTTTATTTGTAGGGCTTTTTAATTATTTGTTGGTCTCAAAGAAAAGCAGAAATAGCAGGGGGTTGGATCTAGATGATCTTTAATGGCCCTTCCAACCCAAAGCATTCTGTGATTCTATGATTCTGGAGTTGCAGAAAGTGGGGATGTGTAAAACCTCAGTCCCCTTCACCTCAGAACAGAAGGCAGCCTAGTTTAGTCCTAAATGCCTTGCCAAAGGCCCCAGCAGGAGCCCGGAGTCAGGGCTGCAGCTCAGCTGCCCTGGTTTTGGTGCACAGTTCCTGCAGCACACCCAGCGACAGCTGTGATGGATACACGTTTACTGGCAAGCATCTCACAGCCCTGCTTCCTTATCTCCCTCTTTAAGAGATAAGCTACTTAATATTTGCCCCTGGCTGATACCAACCAGTGTGTCATGATAGGACTGCACCCGTGGTAACCTTTTGAGCAGACGCAGGCGCTTCCAGCCAGAGCCCAGCACCGGAATGCCCTGCGAGTGCTTTCACAGTCATGACTCACAGAAATGCTTTCTGTTCTCAAAAGGCCACGAGCAATGCAGCAGGACAGGTTTGTCCACCCACTGCATTTTGTTCCAGCAATTCTGGCACAGAGCTGAATCTGGGATCAAATAGTCTTAGGAAGCCAACATGCCAAGCTTGAGGAGTAGGCTAATGTAAATATATAATGGCGTGGGAAAAAGTCTTTTGTTTGTTACTGGGAGGTGATACAGAATATCTGTTGTCCGGGACAAGCAACCGCAGAGCCCTTGGATTGCATTCAGCAGTGCCCAGTTGTCTTTCTTTCGGGGCAGAAGTTGCTTTCCTCTCTGTGCGTGTGTGCACATGCACCTGGCAAGGATTTCAGTACGGCAGTGCCTCGACAAACCTTTCATTCCATGAAAAAAAGAGGGGGAAAAGGGTATTTTGTGGCAATCTAAGCAAGAAGTACCTGGAGATGGGTCGCAGCAGCATGGTACGAAAATATGTGCTTTGGAAATCTCAGCTGACTACCTAATCCAAAGCACTTGTGGAGGAAGGGGAGGAATGAGGAAGTCAGTTTGCGGTTCCCACTTCTCTGGCTGTGAGATCCAGAACATAATTACTGAGCTACAGTTCAGCCAGCTTTTGACAAATGAACCACCAAGAGTTTTCTCTGCATGTTTTCTATTCAAGTGTATTTAGTCATAAATACTTGGTTCTAATGGCATTTTCTTAGTCAAACAGAGCCACTCCTAAGCACTAATATTCTTGGTATAAGACTGTTCTTTTATTCTAGTTGAAGGTCTTTTTAGAGAAGTTGAATATTCTGGATTTTTTTCGGCCACACTAATTTCAGCTAATTACACCCATAGCACTCTACATCTCCAAACCCTTTGCAACAGTTCATATACTCTGTGCTGGGAGGTTGCCATGAAAGAGAAATAATCCCTGTGATATCCAGTAAAGTTATCAAATTAATTTTATGAAAGGAAGAAATCATAGCAGAAGGACACAGACATCAGGTCAGACTACCACATTTCCTTGTTCCCAAGGACCTTATTCAAATTCAGCTTCTCTAGTCTCCAGGATAATAAAACAGAAACTCCTGAGTTTATAATGCTCCCAATTAGCTTGTCCAGAGGTATCCTCATTTGAGAGGTATATAAATCTCTCTCTCTCTCTCTGTATCTATTTTTATATACATAAATATCAACTTTATTTATTTATATCTATAAGTATCAAAGACCTGGAGGAGGAAGCAATGAGCCATGAACAATCCCTGCTGGTCTTGCTGTATGCTTTGGTTGTATTTGATAACTTAATATTAAAATGATAATGTATGTGTGCAAAAGATTTATTTTTAATCAGTGCATATTTTTCAAATCATATTACTTTTGAAGTCAGAGGCAGTACTCTTTTTCATTCTTTGCACTTTTAGAAGCAGAAAATGAGAGGTACTACAGCCCTTTTGGGGCTTAATTTCCTCAAGTGGAAATTAAGATTTAGTACATGAAATACCCTTTACCAGTATTTGAACCATTTGTATAGTTTTTGATTCTGTGTAAGCAAGTTTTGCCTACATAAGATACACTTGGTGAAAGTACCAGCATTGTCAATTTTTGTTTTCAGGTATTCCTGAAACTCTCTCCCCATCCCTAACTACCTACCATCAAAGAGAATAAACAGAAATCAAATTTTTCAAAACCCAGCCAAATGGATGCTTTCCCAAGGGTCTGCATTTGTTTTTGCTTTAAAAACAGCACCCTCAGTTTTGTTTAAAGCCTTTTTGCATTCCAGAGGTGCCTATTTTCCCTAGATGGGTTCACTTGAGTTTCTTTCTCCACTTCAGCTTTCCAGTGAGCTCCACTCCCTCCCAGTGTGGTACCTGTTCCAGTGTCTCTCCTCAGGCTGAGGCAGGTCCAGAAGCCCTTGCAGAGGGAGTTGGCCACGGTCCTGAGCTCCTTTCTGCTGGCACTGCAGCCCAGGGAAGTGTTTGCCTGCTCCCATCATCTCCAGCTGAACCAGGAGGCAGCTCAGCTTCCCCTTCCACTGGGTGACTGCAAGGGAAGAACATCAGCTTAGGGAGCAATAAATCAAACTGAGCCCTGCTCAGCTCCCACTCTACACCCAGAAAGCCAGACTAGAGGATGCTGTGACCTAAATGAGAGGCTCCTCTAAGTCTGGCTTCAAAGGTGATTAAATCCCTCTGGGTTCTGAACATCTCATCCTAAATTACCCATTTCTGTTTGGAAAATGTTGAGACATCTTTTGTTCAATAGCTTTGAGTTTAGCATAATTCCCATGTTTTCCTTCCCTTCAGTAACTCGGCTATGGAAAAAAGACCTCTACAGGGAAATTTCAGAATTAGTCTCAAAACGATAGTGTAGCTCACACAGTCAACAGAAGCACCAGGAAGAAAAAAAATTGATAAAAACAGGTCCACAAAAATTAAAAAATGGAGACTCCTGAAAAGACAGAGTCTGTGCAGAACAGTAATGCTGGCACGGATCCTACTCAGTATGGAACTGCAGCACGTATGGGGCTGGCAAGGCTACACACATTTATCTGTCCTGTAACAGTCACACACTTGTCTTGGTTGGAAAAAACTCTCAAACTTTGCAAAGAAAAATTTCTTTGGTAGGAAAAGAGAGGTTAATCAAGGTCAAAATACGGTAGAGTTGGGAGGCATCTCTCAAATTCACCATAAAAACAGATTAGCAAGTGAGAAAACTTTTGAGAGTCGGCTTCCTTGTATTATTTTAATTATATATTATAAATACATATAACATATCCTACATATAATATATAGTATGCAATTAATTATAATTATAGAAATCAATTAATATATGAATCAATAACACACTAAAACAAATTAATATAAATTAATAACTATTAAATATTGATGTATTTTAGTAATATATAATGACATATATTAAGACATAATTATATATTATATAATATACCTTATTGCCATATCGTTAAGACATTATATATTTATATGTTGATATGCTATATTAATATGCCAGTATATATTGTCTATTAATAATTATTATTAATTATATGATTTTCTATATTATGAATGTTATTAGTTATATATTCTGATACATTTAATCTAAAAGCTTGAAAAAGAGGAGGAACAAGATACAGAAAGATTTCACGATTATCAAACTGAAATTAGTTAGCTGGTCCAAACCAGACCCTATCTAAAATCCAGGGAACCATAAATTGTTGTGCTTTCTCGGCCAGAGAACACTTTGCAGGACCCTGGTGTGTGGGAATCAAGGAGCACATGCCAGGTGTAGCGAGGCACAGACTTAGAAGGTTTTTTAACATCACTGTAGACATTGGTGAGACACAGGAATACTCATCCCAACAGCCATACCACAGAGAATTTAAATGGGGTTATTTTCAGTCTTTTTCAGCACTTCCCCGTGGAAAGGGCTTGGCTTCTCTGCACCGTGGGGTGCAGATGCTTCTGCACCCTCTGGGGTAGAACAGGGCAGAAGGCAAGATGGATTTCCAGAGCTACAGACAAACTGCTGGAAAACTTGGTGTGGTCACTGCTGCTTCTGCTGGCAGCGGCTCAGGAGGACACTGGTGGCCAGTGCTGGAGGAGCTACTGAAGAGCCTGAGGAACGGGAGGCACTCAGAGACCAAGCACAGCGGTTCCCCAGGGACACTGCAGCCCTGCCACAATGCCAGCAGGCCTTCACTGAATCCCACATTATTTTGCCTTATTATTTGGATCGTATTTGTTTTCTTGGTGCTTCCCCAAAAGCCAGCACCAAGCGTCTTTCTTTGCAAGACCAGCAACAAACCAGTGCAAAATACACACGCTGCCATGAGAGCAAGTTTCTACACACCCTCAGCACAGGCTGAGGACTCACTCCGAGGTGGATGAGGCAAACAAACAAACAACCCCACCCAGCTGACAAAGCAAATATTCCATTCCTGTCATTTTGGCTGTGCACGTGTCAGGAAATCACAGGCAAAAGGGATGCCGTGCTCTCAGGGATTGCTGCCCTTGGGAACTGCCCTGTGTCCAGCAAACAGCCACCGCCGAGGATGTGCAGAGGCACAAGCCCAGGCTGAGCACACCTCAGACCATGTTTACACACTCAGGGCATGAATAAAGGCAGAATTTTCCAAACTATTTTAATGTAAATACAGGGGCGCCCACAGCCGAGCAGCCCGGCAGTTCTGCCGGGCCGGCTGCCAAGGAACAAATGTGCTGCAGTGTATTCCATTTACCCCCAAACAATGGGGAAAGGGCCCTCTCGGGCTGTTCCAGCCGTGCCCAGCGCTGCTACGTGTCTGCCCACAGGTGCCGTGCCCCGCCAGCACTCCCGGGCGCTCCCAGGCATTTGTTCCCTGCCTCGGCTTCCCTGTCCCGGCGGCTGCCGGAGCCTGGCCCGGGTGCCCAGCCCAGCAGGCACACGCAGCGCTGGCAGAGCGTGCTCAACTGTGACCTAAATGTTTTTTACCTTCTGGGACAAAACCTCCGTGTAGTAATGATGATGGGGAGCAAAAAAATTTGCTAATTCTGTGAGGTTTTCTTTCCAGTATTTCTTTTCCATTATTAAGTGTGCACATTACAATAAGAAACAGATTCAGTTCATGCAGTTTTTCCTTTGGACATAAACACAGAAAAAAAATAATAATCATATGGTTCACTGCACTGCTCCCAAAACTTTCAGCTTTCTGTTTGCTATTCTGCTGCTGTGAAATACTTAGAAGTGCATCCTGGATATTAGCATACAAATAGTGTGTATAATTCAGTATAAACTGGGTTGTTTATAAACATCAAACATTATTTATAGTGCTCACACACATCACCATGGAAACACAGTAATTGCTATACCATTAGGACACAATTTCTCTGTGCAGTGAGGGAGAATGGCAATTTATCTGCATCTGGGTGGTTTCACATTGCTGCTTGTGGCCACTGATCTCCTCTCCAAAGCATCTTTTGGATGTGGAATTAGTTTTGATTACTGAAGAGAAGATTAGATCAATATAAGAGTGAGATGAAACAGAAGAGCACATGTGAAAACACTGCAATTATTGCACGGGAGTGATGTGAACTGTTCAGTGGGGGGGATTCAAAGACCAACTGAGGAATTTGCAGCCCAGCCAAAGGTCACTGTGGCCAGTGCTTCCCGCTGCCAGTGGTCACCGTGTGCTGCCCGGCAGCCTCGAGGAAGCACAGTATTGATTGCAGATCCAAAAAGTAAAAAATTAGCAAGAACAGACACTCTTGTTCCTAGTTCTGCCAGTAAGGTCAAGGATTGAACAGACCACAGAAATGCTTTTCCCCTTTCAAGAGAACAGAGTATGCAGAGTGCCAACATTTAAAGGTACAGAAGAGTATAGGGGCAGAGTTTATAAAGGATGGCTACGTCTGCATATAGAGAGACACCAACTGGGGTTTTTGTTAATATGAGTAAGCATATAAGGCATTAAGATCATTGCTTTCTGTCTGGCACTTGAAGTGGAGGCTGTGATACAAAGAAACATATTCTTGGACCTAACAGTGTTAATGGCAAGATTATCCCACCTTGGCAATAACAGCTTCCTGCTTGGTCATATCTGCCTGACAAAGGCCCTTTAAGAGAGCTAACAGAAAAGGGATGGAAATTCATCACAGCATCCTCATACCAGACTGTATTAAACCACGGCTTGAACTGATCATATGTTTGAACATAAGAAAATATAATAAAATTCTCAGCTGTAATTATCATTCCTTCCAACCAAGATGTGTAAGGGTGAGCAAAGAGGATCCTTGTGCTTTTGATGCAAGGTTCACACTGAGGCTAATTTTGCAATATCACTGCAGGCAAAACTCCTAGAGATGCTAAGTTGGTGTCACAGGGTTGCTCCAAAAAGATTGTATATAGAAATTCTCATTACTGCATGAATTGAGTTTATTCCCCAGCTGGATTTCCTGTGAAGTGTCCGGCATTTTGTCCCATCAAAATGTGCTCCTGAATTCAGAATGGAAGATTTCTTTGTGCAATTTGTCATAATAACATGAAACCAGAATGGCTATTCTCTATTTCTGACAGAGGTTTTCCTCTCAGAAGGGAAAAAAAAAAGGTCTTCTCCCCCCTTGCAGATGTAAATTCTGCAAAGTACTTCGGGAGCCTTTAGGATAAAAAACCTGCTTGAGTAAACACAGGGTATAATTATCATCATCTGTCTTCTCTGTGAATCCATACATTTTATATTCCATTTAAAACAGAAAAAAAAGTCCTCAACGGGATGTCTTCCAGAGCACCAATTTAGCTAATGAGAGTGAATATCAATGAGTGCTGGCTAATCAGAATGGTATTAGCATAAATTTTACTTAATGAGGACATATTTGCTGGGTGCCAGAAGCAAAATGGTACTGAGCTAGATTGTAAAATGCAATGGATGGGTAAGTCTCATCTGGAGAGAAAACCAGCAGATCAAATAAACAACTGCATCTGAGGTTCCTGTTAAACCAGAACTTTTGGCAACCCGGGATTTTAACCTCACTTGAGGCTTTTTGAACTTTTTCATTACAACAGAATGTTATCAGCTCTAACTGTGATGAATTAAACACCCTGGGGAAAGCCTGACAAGAGACTCCATTGAACTCTATTAACCTCACGTGGGTAGGTAGATCGCTGAGGGAACTGGCTTTCTCTTTCATTTAAGGCATGCAATAGATGCACTCTGCTGCCCAACAAAAGTGTATTTTCCCTTTGTGCATTGTGTAAGGCTCTCCTGAACAGTTCCCACTGCTGCTCTCAGCCCCAGAAGCAGCAATGTTACATTGCCCTCTGTCTGCCTGCCAGGGATCTCGGGCAGGACATTCCCTGGGGCCGCTCTTGTCCCGAAGGAGTTAAGTGCCAGCAGCATCCCAGTGCCCTTCTGCTCGCTGCATTTCTTCCCCTTTATAGAGAATCCCTATTAGACAGTCTGAGAAGTCTCCACGAACAATATGAAAGATTTTTGTCTACAGTAACATAAAGAGGTTAGAGTTCAATACTCTCACAAAATATTTAATCTTGTGAAATGCTTTTTGTAGTGTCATTCTTGTATATACCTGCTTTGAAATTCCTAACCTCAGATTCTTCTATGTAAAGGAATATAGGGCACAAGTGTTCTTACCTTTGATATACTATAGGATCTAACAATATTTAACCGGTGAAGTCATTTTTGTTTCCAAACCTGTGTCTCAAATATGCTTGGGAACGTGGAAACTCACAATGCCCTTATTCATGACATCAAAATCAGTTCCATGGTAACACATTGTGATGACAAAATACACAGATTGCAAGGTCACAAGTCACACTTAAGAACAGGCAGGGGAGAAATTGTTAGTTTAATGAATAACATTAGCCAGTTCCAATAGGAATAAAAATAAAGAAAAAAAATAAAGTGCCTAAAGTAAACACCCTTAAATGCACTTCAGAACCATTTCATCTTAAGTAGTTCTTCAAAGGCAGAAGGCTTCCACAGCTTTCACCTCTGCAGCAAAGAGAAGCCCACGTGAAAAGAAAAGAGGCACCAGAAGCTAATGATGGCCCTGGCAATGCTTTTCCTCTCCAGGCACAGAGAGAACCAGCAACTGCAGGGAAGAAATGGGGGAAGAAAAGGAGTCACATCCATTCCAGGCTAAATCCCCCAAAGCAACCAATGATTCTCATGCTCTGCAAGGACTGGGTTTTCACACACAGTGACAAGCCACTTCTGAACCTCGCATTTCCTCAGTCTATAGCCAGGTGTCTGGAATATTTCTGTCACAGAACTGTGGGACAGATCCTCCTGCTCAATTTGAAGTGATGCCCTTGCTGCTGATTTAGTCATCGCTGCATCACAAGGAGGCAACTTGGGTTTATGGGGTTGTGATGTACTCAGGACACCTGTGACATATGGAGGTATGAGAAATCCCTGCCACTACCTCATCACCTGGGTAGATAAAGCCTGCAAAAGGGAGAGAGAGGAAGGGAGGACACAACAGAGGAAATTCCCAGCCCAGTATCCAAACAAATGCCAGGCACCTCTGAGACTCTACCATCACCATCAGATTTGCTTGTGACTTCTCAGGGCAACGGCAGGAATAATGTGGAGTACTCCAAGCAAATGAAGCAGAAAACCCTGTGGTTAAGGGAACGTTCTTGCATATGGCATGTCTTAGTCATTAGGTGCTTGGTCCATGAAGTCACTGTACAAAAAGTAACAAGCACACTTTTGAATGTGTTTTCCCTCCTGACTCTTACATCTAAACCTTCTTTGAAAGCACAACTGAAATATGTCACATACAATCTATTTGACACAGCTGTGTCATAAAATTGGCACTGTATGTTCTATGCTTACCACAGTCTGAAAGGTCAACAGAGAGGATAGATTTCCTTTAACCTCTTGTTTAAATAGCAACTTATTTTTATTAGAAAAGATGTTATTTTTTTTTACCATATCATGGCAGACAGCCCTATCCCAATACATCCTTACATAAACAGTGACTGAATAGCCAAAAAACAAATTGCAACTTAAACTCTACAAGGAGAATCACCACAGATTAGTTTTCTTTCCATATATCAGAGCAAAGGATTTGAAAGGTAGGAGCATTTAAAAAATAGATCAGGGAGCAGCATCTTTGATTTTTATTTAAATGATGTAAAATCACTGCATTATTAAAAAATAATGAAGCCTGCTTTGGTAAGGCATTAACATTTTTACCATATTCCTGAGCTCTGACAGTGAAGGGGATGGTAAAATTCCCTCTATATTATATAAAAGGGCTTGACAGTTGCATACATACTTAACCACAGGTGGGGGGCTCTTCTTAATTTGGTGTCTATCATGTGATGCTTCATAAGCAAAGAATAGCAGGCCATGCTGCTTTATTCAATTGGGTTATGCTTTTACTCTTTCTTCCTGCGTGTGAAAAGCATAACAGAGAACTAGCAGAGCAGAAGTAAGATGTGTTTTGTTAGTTGTCTGAAGCCCTGGGGCCCGGAACCGGATAAGTCCTGATATTATACCCTGGATTGAGCAGAATAAATCCATTTTGTTTCCTCCAAACATTTAGCCATTAAAAAAATATGAGATAGAAAAACAGACTTTGCTGTCTGCATGCCTTCTTGTAAAGCTTGTATTGTGGAAATGTCAGAATCATTAGGTCACTGGCATATATTTTGCAAGCTAATGCTTCTACTTTAATTCTCACTGGGGACTGCATGTCTGCTTTTCAAATAAAACCCAGACTGAAGATGGTGAAGAGAGCTTAAAATGATGCTGGTAACGCTCTGTGATGGCTGATAACACTTCAGGATATGAATAATTAGGAAATTATCAGCCAAGGTTGATACAACTACAGCTATTAAAGCACCAAGCCCCACAAAAGTAATTGCTAAGTGTTAAAATTGCCTCATAAATATTTGTGGCTCCCTTTAAATGTGCACAGAGACACGACTGAATAAAGTTTTAAAATAAACACAGCACAAGAAATAAATTTAATATGTGAAATCATGCACACAAGAGAAGAAGCACAGTGGGTTATATTTCAGAGAAGACAAGTGGATGAATTTGCTCCCAAATCACCCAAGGCAGATGCAAACAGTGGTCAGGGAAACACAAGCCCCATTCCAAAAATAGCTGGTTGTCTCTCAAAACACAGATCACTGATAAAATCTGGCGGGAGTTGAAGAAAGAGGTTAATAGGAGTAGACATAATAACACGAGGAGAAACACTCTCCACTCACAACTGGGTAAATAAGTCTCGAACTTGCAGTGGTTCCTCCTGTGCCAGAGCTCTGACTGCCCAAATCAGCTGCTCAGCTCTGCACAGACACGTTTCGCTCTGTGACTGAGCACAGGAGCCCCTCTGCTCCAGAGAGAAAGGTTCACTGACAGTGCTCCTGCAGGAGCTCACCCAGCTCCCCTGGCACCTCCTGCAGCCCTGCCCAGGGCTCCCAGGCTCGACACCTCCAGGCTCTCCACCTTGAGCTTGGGGCTCCAGTGAACTCAAAATAGCCCAGCAGTCGAACCCCAGCCAAACCACCGAGTGCTGCCTCGTTTTTGTACCATGGCCAGTTGAAACCATTCAAAACCACAAGTTTACTGTGATTCTGATACCAGTTTATAAATCAGCCCAGCCTTATCTGCAAATTAATTCTGAGTCAGTAGGCAAGGTGGTGAACTTGAATAAAACTTCAGCCAAACACAGTTTTTACTCTGAATTTCTAAACAAGTCCTTAAACTAAACAAATCCCATGCAGTTTCTGTTTTCACTGTGGACATCTCGCACAGCCCTAACTAGATGCAGATTTTTGGGTCCATTTTCATACTGCCAGCTCCATAACAATCCTCCAGGATATATCCTGACTGACTCTTACAGGAACTTCATGACACACTGGCTTAGAGTTACATTGCTCCAAAACAGGAAGATCAGCTTTGAACACTGAAAGGTGCCATTTCACCTGGCATTTTCTAGGCTATTAGTTTAACTTATGAGTACTTCAATAAATCAAACCTTTCCTGTCAACTTCTATAAAGTGAAAATGCAAGACCCAAACAGACGTGGGCATATGTGTAAGCATAACTCCACAGCCATCAGAACAGATACACACTGTAAAACCTGAATCATGCTCTGATGGAGAAAACTTGTCAAGTTTTACTGATCTCTTTCTTCAACCTGGTCTCCTCTCTATTTATTTTACTTTAAAATCAGTCTGGCTCTACAACCTATGCAAAACCCATTCTGTGTTACTCCTCTGAAACTGTACAGCACTTGCACTATCCTGTACAAATAAAAGATGAGTTTAAAGGGCCTCAGCCACTGCAGAAGTAAGTAAGACAGTCAGTAAATAACTCATTAGAAATGCTAAATTGAGTTTTGCTCAATTTTGTTTATGATTCATTCTTGTCCTTCGACTAAGCGTATCGGGAAAAGATGAATTCCCAAAAGCTTGATTACTGGAATAAAATAATTTTCAGAATGTATGCCCGAAAAAACTTTAAAAGTATAATCTCTGCACTGTAAATAATCCTGTTAAAGCAGCAGTGCCTGACAAAGAGCAGAATGTCCTCTCAAGCATCTGTACCTTCCGTGAATGTCTGTGGACTCTTCAGAGAGGAAGACGGTTCACAGGGAAATCTGAATTACACAGTTTCTCTGAAATACTGTGGAAGGCAAGTATGTTTGGAAACACTTTCAAAAAGCGGATATGGATTTTCAGAAATGGTTTTGGATATAAATTTTCTCTGATTACTAGATCAGGGGTATATCTATTTATTCTTAACTGCTACACAAAAAGACCCTGCCAAGTATTGGCCTCAGGTATTTTCCTTTCCAGATCAAGCACAAGAGCAACTGGAACATGATGAAAAAGAAGCCCATGTTATTCTCCTGTGAGCATGAGGGCAATGTTTTTGTGGGTTAGAGCAAAAGAGGACACACTGCAAGAGAACCAGCCATCTCAAAGATGTGGAGCACTTCATTTCAGTCCGGCTTTAGATTTTTAGCTGGCTTTGTGGTGAGCCCTCTCTGCCTTGTTTTCTCACTAATTCCCTCTTTTCACAGCTTTCTCACTCTAGGTAGGGCTCACTGTGGCTGAAGGAGCAGCCCAACATCACGGTGAGGCTGCTCTCTGTACTCTTCAGAAGGCCCTGGCAGTTGGGGGAGACTCCTGCTCGCTGGAGAAAGGCCAACACCACCCACTTCTGCCAGGAGGATGGGCTGGGTCAATCAGCCTCACATGAGTCCCTTTATGGAGCTAACCCTCACAGAAGCTGTTTCCAGACATGGGAAGGGGGTGACTGGGAGCAGTCAGCATGGATTGACCAAGGCAAAGGACAGCAGCCAACCCCTCTGCCTTCTGTGCCGTGGTGAGCAGGCCCAGCCCTGTGGACAGGGCAGTGGGGAAGGCAGTGCATGGTGTGCACCTCGGCTTCAGCAAGGCTTGGACACAGGCACAGCCCAGCACCAACACCAACAGAGTGTGTGTGCCAGGACTGTGAGAAATAACAGAGGAAAATGCTGTGGGACTCTTTTCTTATGCAGCTACGAGATTTTAGAGATTTTTTTTTTTTTAGATTTGGGTGCATAAGTTATTCTCACACCCAGAGAGTGTGTACAGGCTACCAGTCAGCTGAAGTTACCAAAACCCCTTTGGAAAGAAAACCTGTTTATAGGAAAGGAATTGATAAAAGCTTTCTTTGGTGGCACTAGAGTGAAATCGAACCATTATGT